CATAGTCTGGCAAGCTTGAGCGGCTATAGAGCAATTAATATTGAAATTGACGTACGGAAAGCTCGCGCAGGAGCGCACATCATGCGGGGATACAAAGGAAACATTTAAAGCTCTTCATGTGCTTTCTTTCATTGAAGTAGTCTGAAAAATAATACCCAAAGTTCAATAACCTGAACTGAATGAACTGAGATGTGTAGCTTAGATATGAAAATTGGAAGTAACATTTATTATATTGTAAAGACTTTTACAAAGCTCGCAGCTTTAAGCGAAGTTTTTTTAATTTCAGCGCAAGCACTACAAATATGAAAGCTTCGAGCCTATGGGCCAGCAGCTCTTTTTGAACGCTTTTAAAGTTATTTAAGTAATTTTTTTGATTAATTTAAGTTATTTAAGGCTTTAAAACTTTACAACTTAATTTAAAATGTGGAGATAATTGAATGAAACTTTGATTGATATGGAATAATAAATGCCTATATGTATATTAGAAATCCCAATTGGCAATCCAATAAAAGATATATCTGAGGTGAACTTTGGATTTTTCAAGTAAGTTTATTGAAAGGTTATTGATTCAGATTGTAAACAAGTTTTCAAAGCTTTTATAAAAGCAAAGGAAACTGATATTGAAAGAGATAGCAAGAGTAATAGCCAAAAGACAGCGAATGTTCGAACTGATTTCCTTCTCCTCTTGGCTATTTAAAAGCTTTTTCAGCTAATTATATTATGAGAGATTAAATTGATTAGAGATCAAGAAAAAATGTTCTTTTTTGTACAAATATATAAATAATAAAAAATAATAAAAATCTATTTTTTTATAATTCTTTAACTATTAATCATAAATCTATTTCTTATGCTGATATTTAACTATTCGCATAAAAAACAAATTTCTGATTAATAGTTAAATTTTTTTTATAAATTTGTCCTTGATAATTGCAAAGAATATTGTTGATGTATAAAAATCTATATGAATTCATTCTCTTCAGTTTCAGCTTACAAACATTTCTTAGAATTTAATTTATGATAGGCAGCAAAAATGTGAAGCACTTCGATTATTAAGAACTCGCCAGCATAATTGCACTGCTGTCCGAATGTCTAACTATACATGAGTGTGTGTGTGTGTGTGTGTGTGTTAAGCAAGGACAATGCATTAGACTACTACAACAAGCATGTAATAAAAACTGCTTTATGCTGTCTGTGTGCATACGTATGTGTGTGTGTGTGTCTGTGTGTATACGTGTGTGTGTGTGTGTGTGTGTGTGTGTGTGTGTGTGTGTGTGTGTGTGCGAGAGACTCATAAAATTGTTGGCTATTTGAACGTTTTCATTTTTTTTATTTGCTGCTAGCCAAAGCCAAGGCATTGAAAAATAAAACGCGACAAGTGCAGCTAAGCCAAACACACACACACACACACACTCACACAGGCACAACAAGTTTTGAAAAGGGTGCAAAAAAAAGGAGAAAGGAAAGCTAACAAAAATAGGAGCGCTTGACTGGAATTTCATACTGTTGGCATGCCATGTCCACCCACGTGTGTGTGTGTGTGTGAGTGTGTGCTATGCTTTGGCGACTGTGTGTGCGCGTGTGTGTGAGTGTGCTTGGCCTGCGCTTGAGCCGCGTGCAGTAGCTGCCTTCACGTCGATGTGTTGGCCATTTTATTATATTTGCTCGCAGACATTTTTGCTCTAATACGAAAATGGGATTTTAGGATATAAAAATTATGATAGATTACCGCTGAGCACACATATACATATATATATATATATGTGTGTGTCTGTGTATGGACATGTGCAGGACATGCAGCTGACGTGACTGCAGCGCCGTGAAAATTGTGCCCAGCTTAGCTGAAAGAAAATCATTTGATGATAGAAGTGGACCCTCAATTGCTTTTGTTGCTGCTGCAGCGCCTTTATTAAATTTAAGTCCAACAGGGCTCCAGCTTTGCCGCTTGCCGCCTGCTTCGTGTGCAGCAAATTGTTGTACAAAGCAGCTGCTAAAGCAGCAGCAGCAGCAGGAGCTGCAGGAGGAGCTGGAGGGGGAGCTGCAGGGGGAGTAAGAGCAGCCACAGCAGCAGCAGCTAGCGCAATAATAGTAATCCATTTGAGACGCGGTTTATTAAAAGATACTTCAATTTAACCGCATTCATTTTGTCATGTATTATATTAACTAGTTAGTCGACAAAGCTGCTTAAAATCTGCCCTAAAATTGCAGTTAAAATTTATTGGTGTTCTATTGTGTACTTTCTCATTAATTTTAAATATATTTCAACAAAATTTACATATGTATATATAACTACTTTTATTGAAAAAATTATTTTAAAAATTTTAAAAATCTACTTAATTTTAAAAATTTTACATAACTTTTACTTAGCATTTTCAGCTCATATAATTATTATATATTAATTTTTTTTATGCATAGTTATTATTTTTAATTTTTTACCACATCATTTATTTTGAATTAATTTAAAGTACAGTTATTTTTTTTTAAATAAAGAAGCAATCATTTAATTAGGCTAGCTGACAAAGACAGCTGGCGCCATCTATGGGTCTTCTATAGTAACTTGGCTTAGCAAAGACAAAAACCTGCAAGCAGCGCCATCTGTTATTAAAGAGTGTAAAACACAACCAATTGCTAATTGTTTGCTTGTATTTATATAAATAATAAAATATTCAGAGCTAATATTAAAATTGAAATATAAATTATAGATCAATATGCATATTACAATTTTAGATAATTTAAAATAGAAAATAAACATTTATTTTTTTATTAAAATAATTATAAATAATAACGCTTTACATAAATGCATATGAAGATTGCACCAAAAAAAAATATGATATGTATAAAAAAAAACTAACTTTAATTGAACAAAAAAATATAACGAAAAATATTCATACTAATCACATTTATAATTCATTAGTTTTGCATTCAAAATATCCAAAAAATCTTTACAAAATGATTAAATAAACTTATTAATTTTTAAAATGTATATACAATTTTTTAAAAATTTCTCACTTATTGCATATATTTTTGGAGCAACAATTAAGCAAACTGAACTTTCCGAGAAATGTATCCGGTCAAGTCAACAAAATTTGAACTCTCCTTGAATAATTCATGCCAAAGGAATTCGCAGTCACAACTGAGATAATTCGCATTGATATAGTAAAGTTTTTGTGAATGTGTTTAGCAAAATGATTAACTGAATTCGCCTGGCCTAATGAATATAACTGTACAATAAACGCAGTCATTAGTGCGTTTCGTATTGTATACAAAATAATTGCAAGCCCAAAAAAAGAAAACACAAAATGAGACAAAAAATAGAGTTAAGTTAATTAAAAGTTTTTGTGCAACTTAAATGACAACTAAATCAACGTCGAATCATTAAAATTACGAAATCGGAGAATCGGCATCCGACGACGTTAGCTTAAGGCCACAATCAAGTCGACTGACCGATGCGCTATATGAGACTTGGTACGATACTCATTGTCGAAAGTGAAATGGGTATATTAGTTTAAAGCAATGCCAGACATACAGTCCGTCTGTAGATGTCTGAAGATGTGTTTAACAGTAACTTAACGGTTTCTTAAGCCCCCGATATGTCGTAAGACGTTAGCTTCCAAACTCAGTGAGTTCATAGAGACGTCGGCTTTAGATAAATAGATAAACAGACTTCAAGAGGCAACAGCAAAAAGAGCTTATGCTTTATATGCTCTGTTTGCTTCCTAATGATGTATAATTTGCTTATTAAATTAATTAATAATTGAAGAATTATATTCTTCAAGGGAGTTACACTAATTTTGATTTCTAGTAATATATATAACTTTTTTTTTCTGACTAACAAAAAATCTGAGCAATAAGTGCACCCCTTTGAGTTGAGTTCATTCAAGTGCAACGATGGTCACTGAGTTTTTTATACTTACTGCGTGAGTATTATTGTTATTATTATTGTTATTATTATCATTTTTTAATTAGCCACGAGCAACATGTACAACAAACAGTGAACAATAGCTTTATGCAATTTGTTGTGGCTAAGGTCACAGCGATTAACCAACTGGCCAAGTGACCAACATGTACTAACATTTAAGGTAAAACACGAAAGAGCCGCACACCGAATGCTAAATGCACTTGAATTGAGCTGAAGGCGTCAAATAGTATTATATAACTGCATTTGAATATTGAATATTGAATATAGAAAATATTACAGATATGCAAAATTGTAATGTTTAACTTATTTCTCAAGAACTAATAAAGAAAATTATTTTAAATTTTATTCTCATATTTAAGTTATTCACAATTTTTGCTTCAGCATTTCGCTCCATTCGACTGCACACATCTATCAATACTGCCTCTTAAAAATTAGGCTAAATTTTGCAAAATTTTTAATACATTTTTGTTGTATTAAAATAACTGACAAAGCAAACAAAGCTGAATCAATAGCAAACAAGCTCATCGTTACGTAAACACATACGCACATACTGAACTGTCGGCTCTTATACGTTACTCACTACGTGACCGAATGATGCGACTCTACGTAAGCGCATAATAAGGCTGTGCGTCCAATTAAACAGCTGTGTGGAGCGCCGCCAAACTATGTGACTCCCTCTCTCTTCCGCGCGCACTCCCTTTTACATACTCACACACACACACACACACGCCACCTGTCATCGCGAACAAGCATCGCGTGCCGTTGGCTGCGTGTGTGAGCGAGCCAAGCTGTTCGCCTAATGCCGTCTCCCTTGCACCGACGCGACGCCTTGCACTGGCAGTCAATCGCCTTCTCCTTTGACCATGCGACAACATTTTTGATTGTAACAAGTGGCCGAGGCGGGTTTTAGTTTTAGCTTTAGTTTTTAATTCAGTTTCGCTCGAATCACAGTTGACTAGCGCTCGGCAAACAAAATATAAAAAAAAAACGAAAATAAGTTGAATATAATTTAGGAAAAAAGAGCACATTTCCAATTTTGTTTAATGTTTTAAATAATTTATAAACTGTCCTTGCGGTGCATTAACTGTTATCCATTTGTGTTATACTACCAACTGTTTATTTATTTAGGCAGAACTAAAAGAAACTTTGCTAAAATGGGCAACTCGAGTTCCCTTTGTGCCGATCGCAATGCTATAAGGAATTTCGATGAAAATGGGTAAGAGGAGAAGGAAAGCGAAGTGTGTGTGTGTGTGGGCGAGGGCAGTTTGATTTATTTCGAAGATAGCTGCGAACTTAGAAGGCTATAAAATGAAATTAGATTCATGTTTAGAGCTTTAACTAATCTAATTAGGCAATTGGGCATTTAAAAACTGTTTGACATGATAAATAGGCTTTGAATATATTAAAAACAAAATATACCGAAAACTGATAATAAAAAAAAAAATTAAAAACAACATTTGTCAGACTATGTTCCAAGCTATATAGCTTAGGTATTACTTTAATTTGATTTTCAAAATTGATGCCTGTAGTAATACGAGTACAAGTGAGTTATAGAAGAGTTCTACTTTAGTCTAAATACTCCTATATTTTTAGAGCAGCTTCACTTCAGACAATATATTAAAATGGCACTTATATGATTTATTTCAACTATATTATGGTAAATTCAATTTAAATTTTTAGTCTACGTACTACCTCAAGTATATAAAAATATACGCAGAATTATTCAAAATTAATGCATTTTCATAAAATTATTGGAAAGTCTATAGAGTAATATTTGTATATTAGATAAGAGTATTATTTTCTAATAGAACTGGATTACACACGACTCTCGGCCATAAGCATAGTAGTGTTCAATGCACCATCTCCAAGAACTAACGTTATTAAACACTTAGTATTAAATATATGTATGCAGAGCAAAAAAATAATAATAATAACACCAAAAACACCCAAAAAATATTCATATACGATGAGTAAATATACTTACATGCATTAGTTTATGGTATTCTTCTTCTTCATCTAAAAACATATTTATACTACTGCAAGTAAGAAATGTAATTTCGATGACTGAACTCGTATTGCCTGTGGATATGGTGCCATAATATTTTTCGCAGCTCTGTATATACATATGTATATCCACATATAGTATATTCACCAAAATGTCAATTAGATTATAGTAGCTTCTTGGTTTGTCCTATGCACACAAGCACAAGTAAGGCGTGTGACCACGCCCAGTCTGCCTGTTCGTCCTTTGGCCGTACAACCGTAATTAACATCTTAATGATGCGATTCACTGGCGTTTTAATAGCGATTTAAGCGCGTTCACCTGACCCCCAAACGCTCCAGTTGGTAGTTAAAGTTGTATATGTATGTGTGTGGGCGTGGTCGGGCATTGATTTAATCGATGTAGTTGCAGTTTCAATAATAAAAACACAATTTGTGTGTGTGTGTGTGGTAAGGTTGTTATTTATTATATTATAGAAAACAATCACAAAATCTGTCTACAAAATCCTCCATAAAAAATTCACAAAAAAAAATACGAAATTTAATAATCAAAACAAAATGTTTAACCTATTAATATTTATGAAGGTCAGACACATGTGTAGAAAATTGCCACGTCTGAGATTTACTTTCAGTTTTTGTGGATCAGCTTTTGGCATTGGGCTGTGGCTCGATGCGAGAGTCGAGTTTACAATTTGCGCGCTTGCAGTGGCCCATGATTACGCGGACTGTCACGATATTTAACACGCACTGAGGGGGGCCAGTCTTGAACTATATATTTATGCCGGTCCGACATGCGAGGCCAATGTAGAAATGCTTATTAGATTCATATCTCTGTCTGACTGGCACTTGCTGTGGATCGAAGTTTCAGTTTATCTATCTATTAATCGATTATTAATTATATATTCATGTAATGAAGTAGAAGTTTGCAACCCTATAGAGTCATGTATTTCGTGAATCGGTCAAGCAGCTGGTTAGTCAATTGATCTATCAGTTACTCAATCAATCAAGATCAATCTTTCAATCAGTCAGTCAATCTACTTATCAGTTAGTTACTCAATCAATCTGACATTTGATCAGTCAATCTATCAATCTCAAATCAATTTATCAATCAATTTGTCAATCTGTCAATCTGTCACTCAAAATCAATCAGATCCGTTATAAACTAAAGTTAATTTCTATCCTCAATAGCTTAAACTAACTTGACATTTACTTTTATGACAATCTCCTTATATGCAATCCAATCTCAATTTTATTTCAAACATATTTACATTCAAATCAGCCCCCTTTAATCACTTTTGAATCACATGACGCCTCTGTTTACTTATATTGCGAATTGTTTACATGTTGGAGCAAAATGCCCTGATTGATTGTCATAAAGCTATTCTGGTCTTATCAGTCAATATGTAAAGACATACATACATATGTATATGTATAAATGCATTCCCTTTTGTCTCTCTTTCATTATGCTTCTAAGCTGAGCGAAAGCAAATAGCGATGAAATCCACAAAGTGTAATGAGAAAATAGAAAACAAATTGCCTCAATGGCAAAACCTCTGAATTTCCTATACTCAGTTTGAGTTCGGTGCTGGAACGTTTCGGTCAAAATTGAAATTTTACGTACACATAATAGATCTACGTAGACCTACATATATAGACTCTAAAAGTTATAGAATATAAAGGAAATAAAAGCATGTACGCGACTCTGCAGCGCTTTTCGTCAATTCAAACCTTTGGACGGCTCAAGCAGTATGTACATACATACATACATATGTGTATTATATATAGACAATATCAGTACACTCTGTACCTATCAGTCGAGAGCAGAAAGTGGGCGTAGCATACTCCTTATCTCTAGTGTCTAGTCTAGCTGTACAAAGCATCACCTGTTTCATAATGTTTTTCGTATGCCAAACATATTCTTAATCAATTTGAATTGCTATTTAGCATAAATAAACTACAGTAATTAAGTAGTTCATTTTTAAAGTTCCTTAAATAATGACAGCATGATGTAAGGCACCTAGGGAGCTATTACTTTTTATCAGCATTTTCTTTCTCTTCGCCCTTGCTCATGAAGTGCCGTTATTAAGTGACAACAATGTCATGCACATAGCATCACATCTTGTTTTTATACCCATTGAATATGAAAGCTGAGAGTATATAAGGTATTGTGATTCCAATTTGACCTATTTTAGTTGATCTCTGTAGATCGGTGAATATATTAAAGCTACATAGTTCGTAGTTCCTTTAAATACTTGATATTGTATAGCTGTTAGAGTTTCAACACTGATTAATACTAATACGATTGAAATCGGAATTGATTTGATAATTAGAGGCATTAAATAAATAAATAAATAAATCATTTGAAATTTACGAGCATTTGTAAAATTAATGTATCGATAATAGAGTTTCAATTGGCAATTTTATTGACTTCAGAACAGTTTGACAAATTACTCAAAATACGATTGGCTTTTGAAAATTAATTTTAAAAAATGTGGTTTGACTACTAAGCTAAAGTTCTGTAAGCTAAAATATATGTAGAATATATACATGTAGATATAACGTAGAATGTTAAACACCTGCTCAACATGGACTGCAGGGTATTTCTGAGTTGGGAATCTGCGTTTCATACATGTTCGTCTAATAATTAAGTTATGCCGAGAACGAGCATTTGTTTTGTCTACCTACCCAACTTACAGTTACCCAAACAAACTCTCTCTCACACACACACGCATGCAAAGCACTCTCACTCTCAAATTCACTCGTTTGCCTCTCTCACTCGCGCTCTTTCTCTCTTCTTTCTTTGTATCATTTACAGCACGCCGATTTATCCAACGGCCAACAATTCATACAGCCCTTCCAATGGCCAAATAACACCATATCATCATAAGCAAGAGCAGCAACAACAAAATGAGCACGGCTATTACAAGACCACAATACCCGTTGGCGTTGGTGCTGGCGCTGGCGCTGGCACTGGCAGCACCGCTAACAGCAGCAATAGCACTCGCTGCGCTCACTGCCGAACAGCTGATTTGTACACACGCGCACTCACTCAAGAGAGAAACGGCGGTGGCAGCGGCAGCGGCAGCAACAACAATAATAACAAGCTGAACGTAGCGCAGCCGACACACATACATGCCCACACGAAGCACACACACGAGAGCACGAGCAGCTGTGATGGTGACTGCGCTGCCGCTGCGACTGCGAAATGGCGCAGTAGTCGTGTGTGTAAAAATCATACGACTACAACGACAACAACACTCGAATACGAACTTTCCAATTTTGCAAAACTCACAACACAAATCAGTACGCAACGCGACGTTGACGGAGCAGGAGCAAGTGTTGACGAAGCTGAGATTTTAGCACCACCGATATTATCCTCGAGCCACTGGCAGCAGCTACAACAGAGCCTGCACGAGCTACACCAAAACCAAGCCCAATCACTACTTGGCAACCCTAGCAACATCAATTCGCACCAGATACGCAACTACAGCAGCGACAACATGAGCAAGGATTTGCAACGTGATCGTCTCGGACATTGGGGCACTGGCGACAATGAGATCGTTGGCAGTGTCTCTGGACTCGATCGCATGCGCCTAAAGCGCTACAATAAGGTGAGTTTAAAGAAAGCCGCGAGCTGCCCATACGCGGGAATAGTGGAAAAGTACCAGCAGAGAGCGCCGACTATTGCGGGGTTGTTTTCTGATATATGTACATACATACATACATACATACAAACCTATAGTTATGCATAGATATATACATATGTATTTGCTATGAGCATACGATTGGCGCTACTTATTAGACGCTACACTCAGAAAAAATATGTCCTGAAAGCCAGTTCTCTCTTAAGAACAGCAAGAAACTAAATTTTTACTTTCATTCTCTAGTTTGTTGTGAAACGATGACAACATTTTTTCACAGTATGCCCTTAGCCCTCCCATTGAAACCAAAATGTTTTTCAATTTTTTGTTGCTATTTTCGTGCCACTGACTGCCAAAAAACGAAGACTCATAAATAATAATATTTAACACAAGTGTCACCTAACAATTTCTAAAAAGAAAAAAAAAAAAATAGAATTTAGTTGCTGCCGGTTCGCTTGACCTTTAGATGACATAGCCAAAGCAGAATGTGCGTCCACGCGCCGCACTGGAAGACCAAAGCTCATGTTTGATGGAATTTTTTTTTTCGGTTTTCTTTTTTTTTTGTTGATGTCAGCATTGGGTATAGAAAATCAATAAGGCAACAAATATGAGTATAGGCTTGTTATAATTGAGTGCCCGATAAATGGAGCAGTTAATTCAAGCTAATTAAATATTCGATTAACTACTAAAGTGTAAACATTTTGTCCATTGGGTTGCCTGCGTTTTGTCGTTACCGTTACGCCTGCACTTACAAGTTCATTGCCAATTTGCAGATGCTGTGTTTTTTGTTCTCGCTCTCCCTCTCTCGCTCTTGCTATTCGTTTTGTAATTTTTTGTTGAGCATAAAATTTGCATGCAAATAGCGGAAGAGCGACAAAGAGAGGCAGAGCGCAGAGCGTGATTGCTGTTGTGCAAGCGGGAGGGATGTATGCGCATGAGCTTGAATAGTGGGCTGAGGGTCGATTGTTGTTGTATAGAATGAGCAGGCAATTAAAGACGAAAGAATCCTTAAAAAAATGTTGAAGCTACAAGATAGTAATTTTTAATATATTTTATAAATAAAATATATACAATGTAACATATATATATCAATATAATTCAAGTATAGCAATACTTATAAGAATGTTCACTAAAAACTTATTTAAAAAAAAAATTATATAAAAAAAATTAAATAAAAAAAGTCGTTTAAAGGTGACCTACAATAGCGCTCAAGAGCTCTTATCAAATTTGAGTAGGGCTTTCATATCGTATATATATTTAATACTAAAAATATATGTATACATGTATAATATATGTATATGGCCCTATACACATACATGTATAAAATGTTGTCCGAGACTTTGCCTATATACATTTACGTTGCATAATGGAATTTTTTCCACTTCTTATCGCATTGCATATACTAAATACTTCGAAAGCGACAAGAACTGACCTACGCCAAGACTTCAATACAGTTTAGCGCGAAAAAAAAAAACAATGACAAAACTCTTTGTATATATGTATATCTGTATCTGTTTTCGTATATCTGTATATTTGTCACAAGGCATTTGTTTGGAGATCACAACAGCACAAAATAAGATGTTGATAAACAGACTATTAGCATATTTGCCTAACTGAGGCGTCAAATACGGCTAATTAAACGCACGTCGAATTTTAAATATGCTGATAAAACACTTAAATTAAAATCACTATAAATATATGCAAAAATTAGTCTGTCACGATTATAAGGCTTTCTTTTGAAATTTTTTAATACGGGACTTTGTTGACTTTAAATACGCTGAAGCCGTCTGATATAGCTAAAATGCCCATATTAAGTGTGTAGTAAATTTAAATAATTAATACGGTCAATGTGCTCTCCGAGAGCTTACTTCAGTAGTTCAATATGCAAAATATCGAGGGCATGCTACAAAAATAATATATCACATGGGAAATAATATATCGTAAGTGAAGTAAATCATATGAAAGAAAGTTAATATAACATTAAAATTGAGGAAGATTTAGATGATTGCATAATAGTCTTTAAAAAGTTTAAATATATGTATTTTGAAAAGCAATTATCATGCCATAGACCAGCACTACCAAACAATTCGAAAAGCTTGAGCTGCGGGTAGCCAAGCACAGAGATTGTAAAGAGCTCTCGACTTTTGCAGCTGAGGAAACAGTTTGTGTGAAATTGTCTGTGGCAGCATCTTTTGTTGTAAATTGGCCGTTGGTGTCGTCATCGCTTTGAGGTCAGGTTTCCCACTGCACGCTTATCGCCGCCAGCGGCGAGTGTCTCCTCATAATGATAGTGCTAATGCTGATAGTGCTAATGATAATTATGATAATGATGATCGGGCCAGACAACTCAAACATCAGCTGAGCGCCAAGCGAATTGTTTTTATATTTATTTTATTTTGGTTTTGGTTTTATTTATACATATTTTTTTTTTTTTTTTGCAAATTTGTATGCGTAATCTTCAAAGGTTGCGCATACGCTGCGTGTGACGTGACATGAGGCAAGCGCTGGGAATCGCTTACAGCGGCGTGTTGAAACAGTACCCAACAGTTAGACCTGTTGCCAGGCAAACGATCCCACTCTCACTCTCTCTCACTCTGGCTCTGTCTTTCATTTGCCATCTCTTTCGCACCGTCCGCTTATCGTACCACGGGCGTTATTTCAATGTCAACGGTGTCGTTTTCAGCAGTTCCACACTAACTATTTCATCAGCACCATAGATGACGTATGATATCGTATCGCAAATGATAATACCCGTTCCCGGGTGTTTGCCGCTTCTCATTGGCTAATGCCCTACAATGCCCTAGAATGCGACGTGCTGTTGCTGGTTTTCAAGAGTCAATTAGTTTAGATTATCTGAAAGCACTTTTCGGCACTCGCCCACCGCATGGGGTCTTGCTTTGAGAGAATGCTGCAAACTTTTGATTAGATTAAATCTAATTTGCTTGGCCGCTGCGAAACATTTCCACTGCTCCGGGGTCAGCTGTTCCCATTTTAAGACACCTCCAAATGCTGTCAGCCCACATTGATTTACTTAAACGCACGATGAGTTGGCGTAAAAGTTTCCCCAATTTATGATAGTCTGGGTTTTTTGTTTTTTCCTCTGAGCGATTTGGTCTTTCTGCATATCTTTACGAATTCTCAGTTTAGTCATCGATTCGGAAATAGTAAAGCAATTTGTGTAATTTATTACTGTAAATTTGTTAAGGCACGCGATCGCACAGTTTAATAAGTCGAAAACATGCACACGTAAAGTAATGTAAACAAATATATATACATATATAGAAGTAAAATTCAATTATCGAAATTAACAACTTTTGAGAATACGCAATTAAAATCAACACATCTTAAAGGAAATATAATTTGTATAAATTTTTACCACATTTCTGGCTAGCACACGATTTGCTTATTTTTAATATCATTTGCAATTATATATAATATATACAGCTATATAATATTCTTGATTGTAAACATATCCAATTGATTACCTATTATAGTAGGTAATCTATTATAGCTATATAATGACGATAATGAATTTAATAACGTGTTTAGTATTATTATATCATGAGTTGAGATATGCTGAAATTGTATAATGGAGGTATAGAATTTTCTGTATTATATAGTGTGGTTTAATAATTCAATCTAGTTGAGATCATGCTGTTCGGCGAAGATGGTAATATTATGCCATGTTCATATAACTACAGATATAACTATCCGATTTTAATCATACTATGCTCCCATATAAAGTTCATAATAATAATAACAAATTGGAGACCTATTTGACAAGAAAAATCGATATGATTTGATATGATGATATGATGATGATGATGATATGACTGAATAGAAAAACAACTCTAACTTTAACCATATTGAACTTACATAAAATCTTCATTCGCTCTTTATTAAAATACCTTTTAATCAGCATAAACTACAATTTAAATGTAAGCAATAGCATAATTAATCACTTGATTATATAAACCCATTTCAACTACAAAACTTAGGGCTCTCAGCTATAGTAAACATTTGTATAATGAGTTACATGAGCTGTCCGACTTCGCCTTTTCCCACAATGTACATACTATGTATATTCATGTACATGTCGAATGCACAGAAGCTAGCTATAAGGAATTCTTTGTCATGTCACGATTTCCCCCATTGTGCAAAGCCTTCAAAGAATGCGCTGCGCCTCTGCCTTCTGCCGCATGCATATTATCAGGTAGACCCAGAGCAACCCAGAGCAAACACCCCAGAGGAAGTTGCACAAGCAAACAAAACACACAAAAAATGAAAGTATTGTCGCACACTCACACGTGCAATCATAGTTCGTATATTCCGTATAGTTCATATCAGTTAATTACACAATAATGAATACTTTCAATTGTTGCAAATCACGCTGCTGGCATATCGAGGCCAGGCGCTCGCTGAGTCAGCCAACTACTATATTCGACTTTCAAAACGAATGCCCCAAATGCATTCGAATACCGGTTCGCAGGCGTGCTCGAGATGCTGTGCGCATTTGACTTTGAACTTCAAGCATAAGTAATAAATGTACATACATATATGTATATGTATGTATGTGCATGCAAATCGAGCTGCCTGTCAGCCAAGAGGCGTGTTTGTCAGCCCATGGGCACGGGAACAGCATGGACACGCACCCAGCCAGGGCGCGTGGCACACTGTGATAAGGGTTTCAGCCAGATGTATAACATATTGACTTATGCTGACAATCGGCTGTTGTTTAATCTAATCTAATCGAGACTAATTCCAGACCATTTAATTTATAGCCCTATCACTGGAAGAGGTCAGCTCAACTTGTGATCTTAGCTCTTAGTTTGAATTTGGGTTCAGACTTTACTTTTTTACTACTTGAACCGACATCTCTATCAATCTAGTGAACTTAATCTATAGGTCTATCAGTAGGAGAGATCAGCTAAACGGCTGATCTAAACAATGTTTGGGATGAAGGTCTATCAGTAGGAGAGGTCAGGGACACTTGTGAGCTTAACTGAGACGGTGTTAGGGCTCTTATGAAAACTGACTGCCCTTGACTTTCCAGCTTTAGCCTACGTCTCCACTTAATAGGTCTATGAGTAGAACGGATTAGCAAAACTTTTCATCTTAGGCCATATTACAGTTAAGGTTCCAAGTACTTCAAGTCCTAACTACAATTGACTTTCCAAATTCAGTGCTACATCTCCATCAATCTAATCCTCTTCGATCATCTCTTTGTTTTCAGGGCCTGGCCTTCACACATGAGGAACGTCAGTTGTTGGGCATTCACGGTCTTTTGCCCTATACGGTGAAAACCCTTGAGGATCAGGTGAAGCACTGCCGTATCTTGTTGGATCGCTTGCCTAACGATTTGGACAAGTATATGTACCTGATTGGCCTGTCGGAGCGCCACGAGCGTCTCTTCTACAATGTGCTCAGCTCAGATATTACGCACATGATGCCGCTGGTGTATACGCCCACGGTGGGCCTGGCCTGCCAGAAGTACAGCCTTGGGTTCATCAAGCCCAAGGGCTTGTTCATCACCATCAAGGACAAGGGACACATCTACGATGTGCTCAAGAACTGGCCAGAGACGGATGTGCGCGCCATCGTGGTGACCGACGGCGAACGCATCTTGGGCCTGGGCGATCTCGGCGTCAATGGCATGGGCATACCCGTGGGCAAGCTGTCGCTGTACACGGCTCTGGCTGGCATCAAGCCCAACCAGTGCCTGCCCATCACCCTGGACGTGGGCACCAACACAGAGTCCATACTGGAGGATCCGCTCTATGTGGGTCTGCGCCAGAAGCGCGCCACGGGTGATCTCTACAATGACTTCATCGATGAGTTTATGCGCGCCTGCGTGCGCCGCTTTGGCCAGAATTGTCTCATCCAGTTCGAGGACTTTGCCAATGCGAACGCCTTCCGTCTGCTGTCGCTGTATCGCGACAAGTACTGCACCTTCAATGATGACATTCAGGGCACTGCCTCTGTGGCCGTAGCGGGCTTGCTGGCCTCGCTGAAGATCAAGAAGACCAAGCTGAGGGATAATGTGCTGCTATTCCTGGGCGCTGGCGAGGCCGCGCTGGGCATTGCTCAACTGTGCGTCATGGCCATGAAGCAGGAGGGCCTCACCGAAGAGGAAGCCAAGACGCGCATCTGGATGGTCGATAGGTAGGTCAAATACTTTACGAACTCCTCATTGCAAATCCAAGTAACCTCCGTATCTTTCGTTTGCAGCCGCGGCGCTATTGTGCGCGATCGTCCAAAGGGCGGCCTCACTGAGCACAAGCTGCACTTCGCTCAGGTCAGCACGCCCATTGACACCTTGAAAGACGCTGTGGTCAAGGTGCGTCCGAATGTGCTGATTGGTGCCTCGGCTCAGGGCGGCGCCTTCAACCAGGAGATCCTCGAGAAAATGGCCGAGATCAATGAGACGCCCATCATATTTGCCCTCTCGAATCCCACCAGCAAGGCTGAGTGCACCGCCGAGGAGGCCTACACCCACACAGAAGGACGTTGCATCTTCGCCTCCGGCTCACCGTTTCCGCCAGTCACCTACAATGGCCGCAAATATTATCCGGGCCAGGGCAACAATTCGTACATCTTTCCGGGCGTGGCTCTAGGCGTTTTGTGCGCCGGCATGCTGACAATACCAGAGGATGTGTTCCTCATCGCTGCCCAGAGTCTCGCCAGCATGGTCAGCAAGGAAGACCTGGAGAAGGGCAGCCTGTATCCGCCACTCAACTCGATCATTCAATGCTCAATGAATATTGCCGAGCAGATCGTGACCTATGCATACAAGAGTGGCAAGGCCACCGTGCAGCCGGAGCCCCAGAACAAGCTGGCCTTCATCAAGGCCCAAATGTACGATCTCGACTATCCTCGTGCCTTGCCACCCACCTATCCCGTGTAAATAGAGACGGAGCATGCGGCCCCCTCAGCTACTCAACCCTCTCCTCTCGCCCTCAACGTCGCGACTCTTGGCAGAAACTCCATTCCATTTGCCTTCTATGAGGAGCCCAGCAACATCGGGTGTCGTTATTTATTTTACAGTTTCATGCACACACCTTTACAAACTTAAAATACTGAAGAAGAAGAAGAAGAAGAACAAGAAGAAGAAGGGGAAAAATAACAAGCTTCGTATGTCGCTTAATGGCCCATATTGATAACAAGATTTGTTTTAGATAATCATTTTAATGATGCAGTTGATATATGTATGTAAATGGGATATTACTATTCTAGATATCTATATGTGTATACAAATTCTATGTAAACGTGAACACAAACTATCTTAAGTACATAAGTCCAAAAAAAAAAATATATAAAAAAAAAACATAATAAAAAAATAAAATAACTAAAAACAATAGTTGATATATGTTTGTTAATTGAAAAGGAGATGGATTAGCAACCTCTTAAACATTAATGTTAAACTCAGATTTGTTTCGGACTTAACAATGTCTCAGCTTAATAAAATCGTATTGGTTTTAAGCTTTGAATCTAACAGATCTTAAAAAAGTGAATAAGATCCAGACATCTAATGCAGCATATATTATATAAACAAGAATTGAATCTTATATCCTTTTAGTAAATCTGGATTATAGTTGGATTAGAGATTATCTTATCTCTTATTCAAAGAATTATATAATATATAATATAAGAGCAGCTGTCAATTGAGGTAAATAATTAAGTACTTAATAATTTAAAATACATAAACCATTTATGATTGGCATCAAAGGATTAGATAAAGAGAACTTTAGAGACTTTTGGGGTATGCCGAATCGTATAATATCGATTTTTTTACATTAACTGCAACTCTATATATCTACTGTCGTGACTTCAGAAATGTGAAAAGTCTGTAAGCAAGTTGCATAATCTGAAATAAGAAATTACACAAATAAAAATGTTTCCATCAGAATCCAAGCTCAACTTACGTCCGTAAAGTGCATCATATTAACTTCCACCAAGCCATAGGCAGTTAATTTGCGGGTGCACTGAGAATATTTTATCCAGATGAGCATCACTTTACGATACTTCTTGCTGCCGTGATACCAGCTGTGATTATACAAAGCCTCATTCAGGCCCGCAGACTGGGAAATAATATATGTATACAATGAATAAAATAGTGTTATTTAGTTCAACTCACGGCCTCCTCGAGCTGTGAGCCACGCAGGCAACACTCAAAGGTGAAGGCCACCAGAGCCATGGTGGGGCCCAAGAACTTGGCAATCATCAGTTTGTCGCTGGCCTCGGACATCAAATACAAATGGAAACAGATGGAGGTAGCTCCGACCAGATCGCTCAGAAAGATCGCCAGCTTGAATAGATCATTAAACTTATCGCATAGCACATTGATCTCCTGATGGCGCCGTATCAAGCTGCTGATGTAAGCAAAGAACCTCTGCTCGTCCACTGGATTCTCACTGTCGTCGGCATTCAGCTGCTCGATCTGCCGGCGCAGGCCATTCAGATGCATTCGCAGCAGCGTCTGAAATGCAATGAACAGGGTGTCGAAGGTGGTGAAGTAGGTGACGCCGACAAGCATGGCATAGACGTCGTAGATCCACACGAATGGATAGAGCAAGTGGATCTGTCGAATATTATACGGTAGCCAGCCGCCAAGCAGCTGTTGGTCCAACAGGATGGGCGCATTTCGATCCTCATAGGCGAGTATATAGAAAATAATCGGTGCAATGCTAAAGCCTCCTAGAGCGACGTATGCAAAGAGACCTACGTAGCCTTTTCGCTTCTTGTGCTGCTCAAATATCTCCGCCACTTGGAGGTGCTGTTGTGTGGGCAAATCCCGTGGGAATTCCCGATCCATCACGTTGATAAAGTCGATAATTTCGTGTCGCTTCGTATACAACAGTATTCCACGGATGGCATAATATACCGAAATACTCAGGACGGGCAGATTTTGACTGGAAGGCACGCCTCGGCGCATTGACCAGAAAATATCAAATAAATTGACACCAAAGAACCAGATGTCCAATGAAAAGCCCGTAAAGAAAACCAATTCCGATCTGTTGACAATACGTCCCGCATCATTGCGATAAAATTTAAAGTGTAGTAAATGAAAGAATTGCTGAAACTTCTGAAATTCAAAGAATGACTCAATTTTAATGGGTTGAATTACGTTATCCATTTCTAGGAATATCTTGCACAATATCTTTCACAAAGTTTGTTCAAGCACTATAAGGCTGTACTATTCACAGCGTCTATATATACGGAAATCTAACACCAGCCCACAATTGGATAATAATTGCCAGTTGGTGGCAGCAATCAGAACATTTTTAATTTCGCATTCTAATTGTTGGTTGGAAGGTGATAGTGAATTGGAAAATTAGTGGGTGCAAAGAAATGATTATATCAATAAGAGTCTGCCCAGAGACACCCTGAATCCCAGCCGAGTAGCATTTCAGCACATATGCATACATAGAATATGTCACATACTCCTTTTATGAAACCCTAATTTTCTGTATATTTGACAAATATAATAAAATGTATTTATCCTGTAAAACTACATTTCAATAATTTACTCATTTTGTTTTGAAAATCTCAGTTTCAAAATTACCGGTTTTATTTCCCGTTTTTAATGTGTCGATAGGCTCCGAATTATTGCGTTAACGTTGCTCAGTTTCGCGCTTACGTTACTCAGCCGGCGTTTACGTTTGTTTTGGTTCTGCGCACATGGAAAATGCTATATGTCAGAGCGAGACATCAAATCAGCTCGTCTCGCAACTGCATCCCTGGTCTGCACATATGAATAACGTAAATATTGTTGAAAGCCAATGCAATAAAATCTCTAAATTGTTGTGCAAAATAACTACGCATATAATGGAAAGATTAACGGTAAGCTATGCTGCAAGCAATAACGAATTACAAATAAATATTTCCGCACATTTTACGCACAGGCATGTTTCGGACGCCGTCAATTGGCCAACGAGCTAAAGCAGAAACAGGTGAGTGCCGTGTCGAAAATAAATACATAGGTGCACATACATATACATATCAATGCTGACCACATGCAATACCCAACTAGGCCATAACAGATCAGCTACTGCAGCGCATACTCTATTCGAAAAGATTGCTAGTTGATCATGTGGAGGCTCTGGAGCAATGTATGCAAAGCCATCCCGAACAGGCAACCGGCCGGCAGTTGCTAACCACGCGGAGTGCTTGCATTTTGTTGGGCGGCACCGTTCTACAGCATCTGGTTACTCCGCGTGGCCTGCGATTGTCGCTGATGCCATCCATCCTCCTGACCACCACATTTGGCGCCCTATGCGTCGTCAAGAGCGTTTTTGTCTGCCGCAACAAAATCGTGGAGCGCAAACTCGAGGAGCTAGTGAAGACCATCGATGAGTTTGGCAATTGCATAAGGCGCAACATGACCTACTTTCAAGAGATTATCATTATGAAACAGGCCGAGCTGATTGAGTGAGTGCAAGCAACAGATAAAATAAATCATTACTGGTCTAACTGATTTTCCGCTCGTAGATCACGTCAAATTGAACGCGCCTGGGACTGCATTACGGCGGCTAAGGAGGTCACCGAAATCCTCTATGATGCGACACGCAAACTGGAGCTCGACTATCCCCTGCCCCCCAAATACGGAGCCTACTATGCGCCCATGGAAGAGCTGCGCGAATGCGAATACTTTAAGAACAATGTCACGGACTACAGTCCGAAGCACATAAAGGTGCCTACCGTAACTGAACAATTAGGCACCTATGTATATATTCAACTAATCTCCTATATTCCCTGCAGGACTTTCACAACATATTCGCCTATGTGCAGTCACAGTATTTGCTGCGTCTGGCGCTCACCATTATGACGCGACCGTCAATTTCGCAGCTGAGCGAGGACTTGGTGAAGATTGACAACCAGGTGCGACAGCTCGTGCAGGAGGAGGAGCAGCATTTCAAGAATCTATCGATTGCCATGCAGAACAAGAAACAATTGGAAATCGAGCAGCTGCACGCAGCCAAGGCTGAGCAACAGAAAAGCGGCCCCATTGCGGTGCTGCAGCACTCGTCCCTGAAGCTCAGCGCCTGCATGGTGGCTGTGGCCGGCGAGTGCCAGGCACTCGATGTCACCCTGCAGAAGCTGACCGCCGCCGAGGCGGCCAAGAAGAACAATGCAGAGCAGCTCGTGGCTGTGGCCAACAATATGCGTGGCATTGAGAATGCTCTGGCCGTGTGCTGCGATGATTTCCAGCGGCTGATGCTCGTCTATAACAAGTTTCTGAATAGCAAATTGGATCTGGGCGTCGATAACGCTGAGAAAAGTAAGTCGCCCGCCAAACAAGATGAATTCCCGGAGAGTATTTTACGCGTCGAGTACTCGCAGCATCCCAATGAGCCGCAAAAGTGCGATGACTTCTATGCCTACATGTACGACGAGCAGGAGGCGCGACAGTTCGAAGACGAACAGCCGGCGCCGTATCCGACACCCGAAAAGGAGTTGCTCAACTTCGAGAAGCGCATTACCAAGGGCAAGTTCAAGCCGGTGCTGAGGCAGCTCAAAGATCGTATTGATCCCATTCGCCGGGTGATGCTGGAGAAGGAGCGCGAAGTGCTCGCCGCGAAAGGTATCAATGTAGACGAGCTATTCGGCAAAGTGGAGCAACTGGAGCAGGAGCAACAAGCGCAACAGGACAATCGCCTAAAGGAGCCAACAAGTCCCAGTGACTCAGAATCTGATTCAGCGGATGAGCTATACGAAAAGCGCAGCAAACAAATCAAAGAGCGCGACAATTTTGCCGAAATGCGTCAGTTTCTTGCCCAGAAAGAAGCCGTCAATCTGTTCCAGCTGGACGGACAGATGCGTCAGCTGCTGGCCTCAAAGGCAGGCGACTCACTGCCGCCACGGCCGGCGCCTGCCCTGGAGGAGGAGCTGATCGAAAGCGAATGCTAGACCCCCATTAGTCGCATTATCTTAATAGTTTCGCAACCTATCTATAAACATTTCAAAGATAAGCAGCTGGCACAGCTGGCGACCACAGTTCGTCATCTATCGGCTTCTCTCTCTGACTGTTTTGCGCCTTTCACCGTTTTCTCGGATTCTTTTTTCGTGCTGTACAAAAAGTCAAAACCAAATAACAAAAATAACAATAAACAAATATAGACAGAATATTGTGGCATGTATATAGTGCTTGAATCTCATGAATTGAGAAGCTTAACAATTGTTCCCTTATGTAGCACACTACAGTGGTTGCTCGCTAAAAAGAATTGAGCTGATTCTTACGTTTGATATTGTTAAAGCATATTATAAGTTTAGAGAGTTTTGTTCAATGCAAATATTTTAGCTGAAAATTGTACCAAAAGTTGTTTATACAGCAGTGACTACTGTAGGTATCATATCAGAAATTAGTAATGTTATATTACATGCAATTCGAGATTTACATAGATAATAGTCTAGTTATGTATGACTCAGACTACAGTACTCACTCGATAGACGAATTAGGACACTTTGTCTATTTAAATTGTTATATAGTTAAAGAAATTTAATTTTACAGAATTTTACTCAGTGCAAATACACTTATACTAACAATTCTTTATACAGCAGTGACTACTGTAGATACGCATTGCTGATTCTATCTAATTTAAATAGGGATTTAAAGAGATAATTGTCAAAGACATATGTGAACAACTATGTATGTGTATCCTAGACTACAGTACTCACTCGATACTAAGAACCTATAGTGATTATATGTCAAAGTTACATTTTAATATATGTACTAAATGAAAGCCTTTAAGTTTAGCCCAGTTTGTTTAACAGAAGATTTGTCACTAGCCGTCCTTCAAGCACTAGTGACCACTGTATCAGTTCAAATATACATGATTCCTTGAAAATGTTTATAAAAATGCATTTTATTTCACAGTGATTAAAGGCTAACGAAACTTAAGTACAATACAAACATCGATGGCAACACTAGACACTAGGGATACGAAGGCAAATCTCCTGGAATATATGTATGTATGTATATATGCCATGTACATATGTATGTATGTATGTATGTATATCCCATATACTATATTCAATATATACAAGCAAATGCATGCACGCAAAGTCTTGTCTTGTGTGGTGGCTGAAACACTTTCGTGAACATCTTTGGCTCGGAGCACGTGCAGCAGGCGGGAGCAGGCCTCGTCTCAGGCATTGGGGGCGCCCGTTGAGCCAGCCGCGGAGGCGGCGGCGGAGGCGGCTGCATTGTTGAATTTCGTGGTCACCGAGACCGGCTGCAGCTGCGAGAAGGCAGAGAGATTGCTGCCCCGGACACTTGTGTAGCGAATGGGCTGGACGCCGTAGTCGTTGCCCTTGAGCCGGCGGCGCACACAGACCACGATGAAGCCGATGATGAGCCCGGCGACGACCACGACGCTGGCAATGATTACCGTGAGGATGATGTAGCGACGGCGCAGAAATCTGGGCGGATCATCCTCGACGGCGCGATACTTCTTGGGTATGACCATGTTGCAGATCTGCTGGGCCGTTAGATTGGTCAGCGGCAGGGCGGCCAGCAAGTAGGGCGTGTCGCAGCGGGCGACCGCCAGATTGGGCGCCTGCAGCACTTGAGGAGCGCCGGCCTGTTCGAGGGCCTGGAGCAGCTCACAGCTGCAGTACCAGGGATTGCCGGCAATGGCCAGGCTGCGCAGCCTGGGCCAGCTCGTCGTGTTGGTTGCGTTGAGAGTGAGCGTCGTCAGCGCGTTTTGCGAGATGTCCACCTGCGTCAGATTGCGGCTGGTCACCAAATCCGCCAGCTCCAGTCGCTCCAGCTTGGGATTGCGCGCGCAGTCCAGCTGCTCCAAGGCGGGCAGCTGCAGAGCACCGAGCTCAATAGTGCGCAGGATTGGCATTTCACTGATGTTCAGGCGACGCAGTGCATCCAAATGGCGGAAGCTCTGGGCACCGATCTTAACCAAGCGATTGCCCGCTAAACTGAGCTGCTGCAGGCTCTTGCCCAGCTGCTCCAGGCCGGCTGGCACCACAGAGAACTGATTGCCCGACAAGTCCAGCTGGTAGAGATTGCTCATCTTGGTGAAGAGATCGCCGGGCAGCGTCAGCAAGCCATTGTGCGACAGATCCAAGCGCTGCAGATTGGGAATGGAGGCCAACGATGCAGTTGTCGCCGCATCCAGCACACTGAGCCGATTGTGGGCCAGCGACAGTTTCCTCAGCTGCGGCGTGTGCTCGAAGAGCTTGCGATCCAGCCGCAAGATGCTGTTGTGGCTGAGATCCAAATCCTTCAGAGCAATCGGCTCGTACTTGGTGGCCTTGAAGGGACCCCGAAACAGATCCGGCTTGAGAGCATCGTCCTTGATCTCATTCCAGCTGAGATAGAGACCCTCCACATTGGGCACGTCCATGAAGAGCGGCACCTCCAGCTGCTGTATGCCGCAGTGCCGGCACGAGAACGTCAGCGTGGCATTCGTGGCCGGCAGCTGCTGCAGCACCCGAATGCGGTTGCCCGAGAACGAGGCGACAATCTCCATGTCCGCGTGCTGGCTGCCAAACTCCGGCGGCCAGCGGGCCAGAATGTGCTCGAAGTTCTTCATGGCGCAGTTGAGTGTCTGGTGCAGGCGATGATTCGTGTCCTGGGCGGACAAACAGGTGCACGTCTCGCAAATGTTAGCCACGGCCTGGTACGGCATGCTCTCCTGCTGGGCCAATGCGACACTCAGCAGCAGAGCCTCCGCACTGACGAGCTGCAAGCAATTATAATTGTGGATTAGAACTGTGTATATATGAAGATATTATATGATATATATGATATACTGTGTATATATCAAGATATATATTGTATACATATGATTAATTAGCAAGTTTATAAAGTAATTGATTAATGGAATCTACAAGCCATAAATTACAGACAGCACATATGTGTGTATATATATATATTTTTTTTTTAAATTCTTAAATAAATATGTATATTAAAAATTTTTTAAGGTATTATATTACTACTTAAAAGCCTTATGAAATACAAAATTTTATTATATTATTGCATTTACTTTTTTTTAATATTATATTAATATTAATATTATTATATTATTTTATTATTTTGTTAAAAAAAAAATGATTTATTGAAGCATTGTACATATAGATCACAAATTTGTTAGAGAGATAAGAGTTTTAAAAATAATATTAAAAACAAAAAACAAAAAACAAAAAAAATATATATATATAAATATATATATATTTTTTTTGTTTTTTGTTTTTTGTT